TCGTGTTTCCCTAAAAATGCTCACCCAGACTTTTCCCACATGACGGATTCTGTCTATATAGTAAGAATAGGCTTTCTTTTCCTGTTCTGTGGAGAGCCTTTATGGGTATTCTGAGTTGTTCCAATATTGTTTACTTGGTTCATTTGATGGAATATTTTCAGTGACACACTTTTCTCTTGAGTCTTCAAGTAATGTTCCATTTCCCTGGTTCCTTAGGGTCCTTTTACTGATACCATTTTGTTGTCGCCAACTAGGCGGACGTGGGCAAGTCACCAGACTTCTTGTGCCTCAATTTCCTTGCGAAATAGAAGTAATTGCACTTTCTACTCTAGAAGTTTGTCACAAGGAATAAATGAGTGAAGTACAGAAAATGAATTCACGTAGCATCCGGGACACACTAAATGCTCAGTTAAAATCAGGCCCCTTATATTATTTATATTTTACTGTTTCCTTCTTTATGCAGCTTCAAATGTGATGATAACCAGCAGAGATGGTGTCTTAAATGATCTCTTTTTGTGTTTTGTTTGTTAATCCTCATTTAGAGGATATTCTTCCATGGATTTTTAGAGAGAGTGGAAGGGAGGGAGAGAGAGAGAAACATCAATGTGAGAGAGACGGATCAGTTGGTTGCCTCCTACATGCACCCCAACAGGGGCTGGGGACCAAACTCAATACTCCCGTGACCAGAAATCGAACCTGTGACCCTTCAGTGCGAGGACGTACGCTCTGTCCACTGAGCCACACTGGCCGGGGCTAAGTTATCTCTTGACTGTCCTAGTTTTCTCTTGCATCCTGGTCAGACGACCTTTCAATGGAAACAGGGAGAGCAGGGTGAGAGGTCATGATCTCAGGTCCAATTCTGTGGTCCAGGACAAGCAGATGGAGTACAGGCCTAACGGTGGGCTGGTCCCCACAGCCCAGGCTCCTGTTCTCTGAGGCGCTGACCAAGGACAGTGCAGTGTCCACGCGGGGCTGCACCAGGCGCTGTTTCTGCTCCCGCTCTGACAGGTATCAACAGGCTGGGGAGGAGGGATGCTATGGCAACAGTACAAATAAATTTCAACCCTGGCCAGGTAGCTCAGACAGTTGGAGCATCGCCCTGTACACCAAAGGTTTTGGGTTTGATTCCCGGTCAGGGTACATACACGAATCAAACAATGAATACACAAACAAGTGGAATAACAAAGCAATGTTTCTCGATCTCAAAATCAATCAATAAAAAAGAGAGAGGTGATGTCCCTGTCCTTTCTCTTGGGTCCTATCTGGCCCCAGCAGGCTGGCTGACGCCCACCACACTGGGAGGGGCGGTCTTGACTCCGTCTACCTGTTCAGACGCAAATCCCTTCCAGAGACACCCTCACAGGCACACCCAGAGATACGTACCGGGTACCTGGGCACCCCCTTATCCTATCCCCGTGGAGATGACACATAAACTAACCATCATGCTGAGGTATAGATTGAAGGGTTTGATGTCTCAGACAAAATTCAGAGCATCATTTCTCTCTCCCTGGGGTTTAGGCAGACACCAGTCACAGCGCTTACTTTAGGCAGGATCTCCCTGACGGTAACCACAGCCAAAGCAACACGCTCTTTCCATTGACACAACCGCAACCAGCGGCAGAATGAGACGTGCCTGAAGGTGTCTCTGTCACTACTCTGTATCATTGTCACAGGTCACCTCTTTGCTCAGAGAGCACCCATTTGAAATCCGAGCACTGGACTGATGGTTGTCTAGTTACAGAGAGGCCGTGACAAGTTGGTGTTTACACTGATAGTGCCACTCACACCTTACACGGTCAGCAAGGAAACGGTACGATAAAGACGTGCGGAATGAACCCTAACATTCCACCGGCGCTCCAGTTCCCAACGCACCTTCAGGCCGCGGGTACTTTCCAAAAACCATCTCACAGTCTTTTCTGTTGGGAACGACTGTGCACGTTTTGCTCATCCACTCCACAGAAAAATAAATTTTAAAAATATCTTTTAAAAAGGGTATTTTTAGTACAGGGTGTGTGCATGTGTGTGTGTGTGGGGGGGGGGGTTACTTATTTATTTTAATGTAACGATTGTGTAATTTACTTAATGGGATTGAGGCTGGGTTTTCACAAGGTATCACAACTACAAGGAAACGGATGGTAAGGTGGATAACAAGGAATTAAGGGTTACCCTCCAGTTTAAGACACTGTTTATCTCATTTGAGGTTGATGGAATTCAAATTGCTTCATTAGCTGAGCAATACTGTGGAAAATGAGCTGGGTACTTACCCAGAGGCTCTTTCATTTGCATTTTTGCTAAATTATCCTCTGCTTTGTTTTCTGAGTGCTTAAGAGCGGGGACTAAGAGAGAAAGAAACGTTCCAGGTAAGTAAACCAGGGGGCATTCGGGGACCAGATGCCAGGAAAAGTTTATCAATGAAGATGTCAGAACTGCGCCTTGTGTGTTTGTGATACAAAGACAGCCTTGGAGTGGACGCACACATTCATTCCCCCACACTCACCAGCACCCCAAGCAAAGCCAGAGGCTGTTCTCTGATAAAAGACCAATACTCCAGGCCCCCGCCCTCCCCGCCCGGCTGCTTACAGTCCAAGGCTGGAATTCCAACTGAGCTCAGCCTCGATGGCGTCACACCTTGAACAGTCGGCTGGCTTCTCCCTCACCCTCTACAAACCTGAAGCACTGTTATTTTGCAAAGTCATTTCCTTTAAGCTCACTCAAAAGGAAAAAAAATCTTGTTTGTCTGGTTAAACAATATTATCCTCCAAATAAAACACTAAGTATTTAATAATGTTTTGTTTAGTGTTTTAATAGTAGGCCAATTTGCAGAAATTATTATACGTGTACGGTATAAATTCAGAGGCAATCAAATGTGTGACCGTAGAATCTGAGCCAACAGGCCACTGGCTTCGCTGGACACCGTCGGCGCTCCTGTTTGCGAGTTCTCTCATTTCCGAGTTCTTCCCACACGCAGTCCTTGGAAAACGTCTTAGTTCATACAAAACACAAATGCACGCATAACATCACACAGACCCCTTTCAAATCGGGGTCAACGTTCTCATTTCTTATGGCACCTCCAATGCCCCTATAGATTTTTTTCTTAACATTTCTTATTTTAAAAAATATTGGCTGACGCCTAAGAAAACTGCCAAGAAAGAATGTTCTCAAGGATTTTGGTATTTTAAGAGAAAATACAGGTCTTTGATAGGCACCATCTCCTTCAGAGACGATTTTAAAAGTAATTTTAAATCCCCGAGGCCACAAAGTCAAATGAACACAACTTCAAAGCTACGGACGGAAAGTAGCCATAACATTCAGATTCATGACGGGGATGAAACACAATTTTCTCTGTTCAGAATTTTTGAAGACAGTCCTTCCCTTGGGGGAGCAGCGGACTCGACGGTCTCGGCCAAATTCTAATGGGCGAGCTGTTTCCCGCCATCATTCAGAAAGCGAACATCTACCTCTTCCATTCGGTCGAACAATTTTAACAACTGAAGACATCTGAACTAGTTCATGATAACGCCTGTGGGGTTTTGATAAAAATAGAGTAAACCTGTTTTATGTGAAGTGATTCATGCCTCAGCCCAGGAGGGCAGCTCCCCTGTCGCAATGTCAGTACTGGGGGTCAAGGGGAGCAGGGTGCTCAGGGTCCAGGAGGAGGGCTTCCACTTGCAAAGCCCCAGTCCAGCCACGCGAGGAACAGCAGACCAGAGCACGGCGTGGGAGGCTTCCCGAGCCAGCGGTCAGCTAGCCAGGGACCAAAGCGGGGCCACCTGACTCCCGTTTTGTTTTTCAAGCCACTTCAGTGACCTCTCCCAACACATTTGCCATTAGTCTCCAATCAGTTCTTAAAAACAAAACCACAACTTACTATTACAGCCAATGCTCCTATGGACAACACTTCAAAACATCGTTGTGTTTAATACTAGATACTTTGTTTTTGGTAAACATGAATGGTCCTTACATTTTCTTTCTTTGGAATCTGATGTTATTTCAAGTTTAACTCAACCCATTCATTCTATTCGTGTTTGAATACTGCGTGTTCTAAAAATACCTGGCTATTATCCAGCTAATGAAACCTTCTAATGAACTAACCAAGTTTAATTTGATGGCTGGGCTTAACTCATCAAAGAGGAATTAGGAGTGTTATTAGCTGATTAGTTGTCATTAAAACAATGCACATTTGTATGTTCAACAGCATTCTCCTATATGGTGAGAAAGAAAAACGTTTTAAGTCTTAGTTGTAAGAACTGGGAGATGGCTGCTCTGGAACCTTATTATTCCAGGCTCTTATAGTTCTGTGAAGGTTTTATTTTTTAAACATAAACTTGAAGTATGGATTGTTGTCCAGGAAGAAACAAACGCTTCTTATTTCAAGTAACTGTTCTTTTAGTTCTTGAGTTTTTTATTTTTATATTATTTTTTGCATACCAGAATCACTATAAAATGAGAAAACTGATAGTCATGTTGAAAGAGATGGGCAAGAAAGTGTGTTTTCATGAAAATAATGAAGGATACAACACGAGAGAATACACTTTGTAGTTGTGTGACATCGGGAGACCAAGGACATAGACAGGAGAAGACGGGCAAACTGCACAGAGTGGAGACGTGAGGCTAGAAAAGGAGATAACAGAAACGATGCAGGAGAGGCCACAGCCCACATGCGAGTCAGGGTTCAGTTTCAAGTGGAAACTGGGATGAGGTGTAGGAAAAAAGCGACATTTGCTTCATGCAGGCCCACGCCTGCGAGACCGCAACATCTCTTAGGGACACTGTACAGAAAAGCCAAAACTCCCTGTCTTTAATCCAAAGACCACACGAGAAACCATTCTTGTCTAATGACCCCTACGAGTTCTTCCTCTGAAAGGTTATGCAAAGCCTCGTAGATACTTTTATCACTTTAAAAACCAGTTCAGAATCCACACCTTACGTCTGTGGATGACCTGGGCCCTCCAAGGTCAAAATGCAGACGGCAGAGTTTGTCATGAGAACGAGTCACTCACCGTCGTGATTCGGGTTTCCCAGCGTCCACGGCTCGTCGGAGTCGAAGTGAGTGTCTCCGCCGATTCCTGGTCCAGGGAAGTAGGCGTGGGCCAAAAACCCCCCCTCCCCGTCGAAGGGAGAGCTGTCTCCGTGGAAACCGGATGCGAAAATGATGGTGATGTCCACGTCCCGCTTGCCGTTTTCCAGCTCGCTGTAGGGCACCTCCTCGAAGGTCAGAGGGGTCACGTTCTGCCACACGTCGAAGGCACGGCGGATCGCTTTGCGGGTCTCGGTGTCCCCTACTTTTGGAGTTACGTTCTTTATACTGAAATTCAGAGAAAAGAATAATCGACATGGCTTCGTTATAGACAAGCTGACTTATTAGAGATGTAGATGTACTCTGTGAGTGAAATGTTAAATGGGAAAGAAATACATTAAGTTCTTATGTTTGCATAGCTCGAGTCCTCTGCGTGGGGTATTTCATTCCCAGCTGTCCCAGGTGTCCCTGCGGAAGGAAGGGCCACTCCTCCCGAACAAGCTGGGAAAGGCTGCCTTCTTCAGGACCACACGGGGGCGCGGTTTCGAGCTGAAATAAAGAAACCCAACTTCTTTCTGGTGGTGAGTGCTTTTCGGGGCTCAGCACTGTGTGTCCACTCGCCACTTCCATACCATGTCCTTGTGCATCTGCGGTCACCAATTCCGCAGACACAGTGGCTTCTCCATTTTTAAAGAAAAGGGCCATTAATTACAGCTTCTGCTGGTCTATTGTTTTCTCCTTCCAAGCTTGAATCATTCTAGTTAAGATAAGCAATGTGAGTGAACAGCTTTTTAATACAAATACTTAGCAATTCTATACATTTAAAAAAGTAACTTGGACATTATTTATTTAATTAGTTTATTTGTCTCAATGCTAATCACAAAGGGATTAAAATGATAAAATCTTGTTCTCATTTATTTAGCACTAATTAGATATTTCTTTTCTCAGTTCTTTTTATATTTTTTCTAAGTACAACATGAATGAAATATACGTATATATACTTGTATTGTGAAAAGCAATGAGTAATTTCCATGAGCAGCATAAATAAATTTCAGATCCCTTCCACCAACAATCTTCAGCTAAAAATCCATGAATTCTCACCAAGGAACTCTCTTAACACATGAAGGAGGATATAACAATCAAGTGGACATTAATTGCATTGCAATAATAAAAGAGAATTGGGAGCTAAACCATTTATACTAATGGAGTAACAGCGTATGGTGTCTTCATTGCACGTCATAATATATACAGAACTTAAAATTAGTTTTGTCTTTTTAAGGCATTTAGCAGAATGGAAAAAAATAGTTAAGATATATTTTCCAATGGAAAAATTATATGCAGATCATATTTTTATCTCGATTGTAATGATGTCCAGATAAGTACAGATGCCAGGCAGGGGGCACACTACAATGATGGTAAGGATGTCAAGCATTATGATGAGGAGCCGGGCAAGCAATTTGCAGGGCCTTCTTTAACCCCGAGCTACCCAAGGACAGGGCATTTATATCGACTTCACAAAGACAGAAGTTGAGATTTGGAGGAATCTGGAGAAAGTTCGGATTGATGTGGCTGGTTTTCCAACCCAAATATTCCGACGCACAAATCCATCGTCTTAAATTCTAAGCTGGACACACATCAGAAACAAGGTTGTCCCTGTTTTCTAACACAGGTTCTAGAATGTGTTTACACTGACGGTTTGATGGTAAATATTCTCTCTATATCAAGAAAACAAGGAAGAGAGCCCCTGGAAAGGGTGGGTGGGCATTCCCACTGGAGAGATGGCAAATGAAGGAAGTGGGGACAAGCTGGGCCAGTTCAAGGAACAGCAAGCGGAACAGTGATGTGCAGCCTGGCCAGAGGGGGGCAGTGTTGGGCCGGGGCCAGGAAGGGGCAGACAGACAAGGCAGGGCCTGTGGAGAGAGGTGAAGACCTGGAGCCGCTCAAGCAGAGAAGCGACACCAGACTTATGCATTAAATAAAGTGGGGCTGCTTCGGGGAAGTAGCACACTGGCATGGAGAAGAGTGGGAGTGGGAGTACCCACGAGGATGGAGACTCTTGAGAAACTCAGGGAAGAAGTGGTAGGCTTTGGCCGGGGGTACCAATGGGGATATTGAGACACGATGGGGTTAGAAACATATCGTGAGGACACACCTGCCAAGGTGTACTGAGGGCTGAACACGGGCTGGGAGGGGAACTGAATGAGCCGAGGACGGACAGAGTGGACTCCATGCCGCTCGGGGAGGGAGCCATGCAGGGTGCTGTTGTTGCTTTATTTTACCTTATTTATTTTTGTCTTAGCTGTATGTCCCATCCTGTGTGATGCTCTAAACTCTATTTGAGAAGGGGGAACCTCAGACATGGAGGCATCACAGACTTTCCCCCAGTTTGCTGATCCCCGAATCTCATGCTCGATGGCTGAACAGGCACTCGGACTAACGTCGTAACTTTGATTTTTATCTAAGCTCATTTTCCTAGCATTTTTTTATTTCCTCCCCACACCGAGGATCTCAGAAGCACCCCTTTTGTAGGCAAGTATCCTTATGGCACATTCTTTGAACGAACAAACTGCAAGGGGGTTGCTGTCCCAGGGACGAGAGGCGGGCAGGGAGCAGCCGGTTCCGGCAGAGCTGACGCACTGCAGGATGAGAGAAATGGGGGGAAGAACGGTAGGCAATTAGGGACACACGGCGAGGGGCGGGGGCGGGGGGCGACGAGGCCGGCGAGCACCCGGCTAAGGCGATTCCGTGACCGAGGAGCCACAGGCTGCGGCGCTGCTTCCCAGGGAGGGTGCAGTGAGCAGCCCTTTGCGTGCGGACGACGCTCCAGCCACCTGAGGCGCACGCCCAAGGCAACGCTACAATGACTTTAAAAGAGCATGTAGATGTGTACAAAGAAGTGGAAATGTATAAAATGTTTGTTTAAAACCACAGAAAAAGAGGGAAGATAAAAACAACAACGGAGAATGTAATCGGCAGCAGAGTTCTAAATACAGCAGATTTTAATTCAAGCATATCAACAATCACTCACTGTGACTGCTCAAACTATACCAATGGAAAGACAGAGACAGTGGATTCAAAAGCGAACAGCAACTCTGTGTTGCCGACGAGAAACCCGCCTTAGATATCAAGACACCAATTAGATTAAGAGTAAAGGATGGAGGAAGATACCCCGCCCTCCACTAAGCAGAAGAAAATGGTGACAGCCACGTTCACTGCAGACGAAACTGACCCCGGACAAGAAACAGTACCAGGGATGAAGTGGGCACTGCGAAACGCCGAGGGCGTCCGCTCCTCAAGCAGACGCAGCGGAAGGCAAGGTGGGTGCCGAACCACAGAACAAGCAAGGCGACGCGACAGAGCCCGAGAGAACTGCAAGAGGAATGGGAGGAACGCACTTAGCTGGAGACGCGCGTGGCCCTCAGTACTGACAGACCTGCAGACAGCAGACAGCGACCGGGTGGCTGGCCTGAACTCCCCCATGAATCTACTCAGCCTAACTGAAAGCATAGGCTCCTTTGTCTTTTGGTCAAACGATCTGAACAGACATCTCGCCAAAGAAGATGTACAGACAGCAAATAAGCACAGGAAGGTCAGAGGTCACGAGGGAACCGCCGATTGAAACCACAATGAGAAACCATGGCACCGCTCTTAGCGGGTGACAGTCAGACCACCAACAAGACTGGCACTCGCCGCCCCTCCCCCGTCACTGGTGAAAATGGTAACGGCGCAGGGCTCTGGAGTCGCGGCTTCTTACCAAGCTACCGGCAATGGTACCGTAGATTAACCATCACACTGATGGTGAAAGTTAATTAAAAGATTCAAAAGCCCTGGCCCAGTGTGGCTCAGCGGTTAGAGTGTCCGCCTGCAGGCCAGAGCGTCCTGGGTTCAGTTCCTGCTAAGGAAACGTACCTCGGTTGCAGTTTGTCCCCACCGGGGTTGGGGTCGTGTGGGTGGCGACCACTCAATGTGTCTTTCACATCGATGTTTCCCTCTGTCTCTCTTCCCTCCTCTCTCCCTCCTGCTCCATCTGAAGATAAATGCAAAAATGTCCTCCAGTGAGGATAAAAAAAAAAAAAAAAAGATTCAAAGACATTTTGTATAAAGGGCAATTACTTACATGTGCTATTGTTTAGGTATTTTTTTAGATGATTAATTCTTGATGAGGAATATCATGGGTTCGGACACTCATCGCCAGTCCCTCGGAATACAGGCCTCCGTTTGGGGTGCTGGAAGTGTAGGTTACAAAAGGGACCGAGTGTGTCCAGGAATGACGCAAGGTCCTATCGGATGATTCATTCTCGTTCTTGATTGCAGTTTTACGTTCCTCATGGGAACATTGTATCACTACTCGCTACACTGTGTCAACGTAAGACTCCAAACAAGAGCAGAGTGAGTGCTGTGAGCTGGGGAAGGGGACCACCACGGCGCGTACCTGTAGGTGACGTGTTTGTGCTGCCACTTCTGGCCCGTTAACGCGTATCGCTTGCGGCGGACATTGAACTTGGAGCTGCCTCGCGTCTGGTCAGGCACACCACAGCGCGGCCTCTTCATCCAGCTGCAAAAAGTGGGGTCTCCGTTACTGACCAGCAGCCCGATGTTCGGTTACTGAACATCACTGACTGCGAAAGGAAATCAACCGAGAACTTAATCTGTGACAGTGATCACAAAACCGGGAAACATAAAGGAGAAAACTCCATTTTCTTGCAGTTTAAGTCTAAGCAGAAAACACCTGTTTTCCCTGAATGATCAAGAATCACTAGCCTACAACTCAAGGGCTTTTTGACATTTTTTTCTCTAATGTATTTGGAGTAAATTGTAGACTGAGTCTCATAAAATGAAACTTTTAAAATAAATGATCAGTAAGGTCTCTTCCAGCTTTAACATTCAACAATTTTTAAAACCTATTACAGAACCTTAAACTCCAGGCATTAAGAGAATACACCCTCCTTTCTTCTAGCTCACACAGATGACCTGTTTGTCTAAACAACATCGGCCTTCTCCACCTCCTCCTCCACCTTCATTATCCAGATTTCCAAGTCACAGCCCTATAACAACCGAATCGATGCTTCAATAGTATGTTTCTGAAGATGAAGTTTAGCGTCACATAAATAAAATTTGCTACGTTTCTATGAGAAAATGGAATGCTGCCTTTGGTTTATAAACTGAGTATTTTACAGATGGAGTCGTCTGTGTTCCCACAGACACATCGGACCATGGCCGTGTTTTCTTGTCCAAACAAAAAGATTTTCAGAACTTTTTCTTTTGTGACTTACAACCTGGCTTTTCCGTTCATGATCCCGTTTAATTGAACAATTACTAAGCTAATACGAACTCTTTATGGTCTCACATGCTTCAGGAGGTGTAGATGAGAAAGGAATCAACTTTTGCCATATTTCACCCACTGCTGGACAGTGTCTGTACTCTAAGTGGACGAGAGCGGACTTGGAGAAGACTAACGACGTCTGCTCTGTGAAACGAGTAACACAGCTTACATGTTACATGGATGCATCAGCTGCACTGTAAGTGCTGGGTGGAGACCTGGAGCTGCCCAGCTCAGGGACCCGGAGCACGGCCACCAGTCCTCAGTTTCCTTCTGAGGCTCTGTTGCGGGTCAGAGCGTCGTTCCCGTGCACCAAGGTTTCAGGTTCGATCCCCAGTCAGAGCAACCAATTAATGTGTGAATAAGTCAGACAACAAATAACATCTCTCTCTCTCTCTCTCCCCCTCCCCCCTTTCTCTTTCTAGAATCAATAAATAAAATTGTAGAAAGGGGGAAATTTGGTAAATCACGTGCCACATTTGGAACAGAGCCTGGCAGAGAGCAACGCCTCCTATTAGCATAATTATCACAATAATAACTATTTTACCAACACCAGGACACAGCTACACCAAGCGGCAAAAGCAGCAGCAGACAGATCACCCAGGTGGACAGGCGTCCGCTCGCTCTGAGCTGCATGTGAACATACAAAGGCCAGCAGACACACCCACCTCTGTTCTGGGCAAACTGCAAGGCCACGAGCTTCTAAACAAGTGGCTACATTAAGCAGCAGCCATTTGTTTCAGTAACACAAATATATATATGTTACTGAATATATATATGTGTGTGTATATACATATACACACACATATATTTAATAAGTGGAGCATTCATGGAAAACCTATAGGGCCACCCACTGCATGACCCTAACAGGTGCCTCCTACTTGTAATCCATAACCTGATGCCCCCCAGCGGGGCTGCCCAGGGCCCGCTCTCTGACAGGGCACCGTGGGGATGCTGGCCCCTGGCGTGGATAGCACAGTGCCCCTCGTACATATACCTCCTTCACTAAGACAATAAAACGGACTCCCCAAATATGTCCTGTGCAAATGAATCCGTAGCCTAAACACTATGCTCCTCAGCATCATGCGTTGAACAGGTTCTAGCCTCCAGACTGCCCCAAGTTCTAACAAAAGGTAAGAGTGATGTCTACTATTTACAGTCGTCCCGAGACAGCCTTCTGGATATTTTCAGATGTGTTTATTTTTATTAGTTTAAAAAATCTGTAGATTTTGTCTGATCCGTAGGGTCAAGTCCAGCAGTCATGAAAGGTTTTAAAGAAGGGAATAAACTTAGGGCTCACATGTGGGAAGTCTGACAGTGCAGTCTGAGACATGGGCTCTTTTCTCTATCAACGCATGAGCTGGCTGCATGGGAACAGATGTCACTTACAAGGCTGACGATGAAAAGTTGAAGTGCTTAAAAACCGCAGGCCAGGGGAGGAAGGTAATCAGTCTCCGCAACCCGCAGCGGGAACAGAGCCCGGTCAGCGCCAGCCCTCTGTAAGCGCTCACCTTCCCCTTTTCAGGAGGCACACCGAACGCGCCCGCTGGTTTAGCTCTCTGCCACCCTCGGTCGCTGCCAACATGAGGGCACAGCGCCCTGTGAGGTCTCAGTGTCGGGGTACAGTGGTATGCTGGGAATATACCCAGAAAAGAACTTCCATGGCTCATGAATCTTTTATCTTAAAATTGAAAAAAAAGAATCTTAACTCAATGAGCTGAACAAAAGATGAAAATCATGAAACACATAGATAATTAAGTCAAAAAGTCAGTGCTTCTGAATATAGCTAAATAAATATTTTAATTCTCAAATGGCAAGTTCAAATACCTCTACAGCTTCCTAACAATTCTTTGCAAAAAAGCTATCTTTCAGCCTTAAATTAATTTTGATTGAGATAAATGTCTGGGCATGGTTTGAATAAGTGAAGCAGAATTATTCAGCTCATGCAGAGTGTGTGCATGTGTGCGTGTGTGTGCGTGTGTGCACGCACACATGCGCATAGCCAGAGATCACCTTCAACATGATATCTCATCAAGCTTTATTGCACAGCACTGTACACACATAAAAGATAAACTAAAATTTAAAAATACTTACTACTAACACTGTAAAAACGTATTAGACTTTGTCATTATTGCCTGGCTAAGTTTTTCTCTCCTTGCTAACTATATCCTTTTCCTGCAGAACATAAATTGTTCCATTTGTTAAAGAACTTCAGTGAGCTTGCTTACAAAAATTAGCTAAGAAACCCATCATTTGAAAAACTGTTGCCATATATGATAACAAGCTCATTTTGGGGTGGAGGCATATGTATTTATAACTCTCTCTCCAACACCAATGCTAATGAATATAAAAGCAACATAATGCGCCATTTTAAGTAATACCTACATCTGCTGCTTGAAAATGGTTCGTTTCTTCCACATGATACAGAGATGACCATAATTGGTATTGCTGCTTTTAGTTACCCAAGAATTACAGACCGAACGTACCAAACGTCCATCTGCCAAAGGAGGGTATATAATTATTTAATTTTAAAAAATTGATCTTGCTCAGCCAGTGTGGCTCAGTGGTTGAGCATCAGGTCATCAGTTCGATTCCAGGTCAGGGCACATGCCCAGGTTGTGGGCCCGATCCCCAGTGGGGGGCATGTAGGAGGCAGCCGATTGATGTTCTTGCTCATCAATGTTTCTATCTCTCTCCCTCTCCCTTCCTCTCTCTCTAAAACCAATAAAGAAAAAAAATTTTTAAAAAAATTGATCTTGACCAGAGTCTAAAATTAGGTAAAAGTTTATAGTATCTGAAAATGAATCCTAAGACGTTATTTTAACACAGAGGGATGATCCTAGGTTTACACGTATTGTCCGTATTTTATGGAACAGGCTTTGATAAAAAACCACACCTCCCACCTTGCATAAGATCCCCGCGTGTCACCGCGGCTCAGACTGCTGGCACACAGCGCAGACTCGCGATCACAAAGGCACACGACTGCTGAAGCAGCGTGGTCGCCGAGTGCACTCAAGACTCGTACCCTCCTTCAGCCTAACAGCTGGGCAGCGGGGCCACGGCTGTGGCGGTGGGGCAGTCTGGTGAGCATGAGTGACAGCGGCCTGGAGCGAGGACAGAGGGAGCCCTGCAGTGAAGGAGGGGCTGGGGGTTCCCAAGGCTTTCGTGGGTTCACCTAGACATCACTATGGGGCTCACACTGGTGGAAGAAAAGAGGCATTTTCAATTCCAAAAGACTGAACCAGGACAGAGTTTTGTTTAAAAAGTAAAAGCAGCAAAAACAAAGCAAAACGTGGGCTGGTTTGCAGTTGAAGGCTGTCTGCACAGCTGGCCTCTCTGCGTGCCATGCTGCTGTTCACGGAAATGCTGTTCACTGTCACAGAGACCCCGGGCTCAGGGACCCGCCCCGCACCTCCTCACGGAGACCCCCTGGTTCAGGGACCCGCCCCGCACCTCCTCACAGAGACCCCCTGGTTCAAGTACCCGCCCCGCACCTCCTCACGGAGACCCCCTGGTTCAAAGACCCGCCACGCACCTCCTCACGGAGACCCCGGGCTCAGGGACCCGCCCCGCACCTCCTCACGGAGACCCCCTGGTTCAAAGACCCGCCACGCACCTCCTCACGGAGACCCCCTGGTTCAGGGACCCGCCCCGCACCTCCTCACGGAGACCCCCTGGTTCAGGGACCCGCCCCGCACCTCCTCACGGAGACCCCCGGGCTCAGGGACCCGCCCCGCACCTCCTCACGGAGACCCCCGGGCTCAGGGACCCGCCCCGCACCTCCTCACGGAGACCCCCGGGCTCAGGGACCCGCCCCGCACCTCCTCACAGAGACCCCCTGGTTCAAAGACCCGCCACGCACCTCCTCACGGAGACCCCCTGGTTCAGGGACCCGCCCCGCACCTCCTCACGGAGACCCCCTGGTTCAGGGACCCGCCCCGCACCTCCTCACAGAGACCCCCGGGCTCAGGGACCCGCCCCGCACCTCCTCACGGAGACCCCCGGGCTCAGGGACCCGCCCCGCACCTCCTCACGGAGACCCCCGGGCTCAGGGACCCGCCCCGCACCTCCTCACGGAGACCCCCGGGCTCAGGGACCCGCCCCGCACCTCCTCACGGAGACCCCCGGGCTCAGGGACCCGCCCCGCACCTCCTCACGGAGACCCCCGGGCTCAGGGACCCGCCCTGCACCTCCTCACGGAGACCCCTGGGCTCAGGGACCCGCCCCGCACCTCCTCACGGAGACCCCGGGCTCAGGGACCCGCCCCGCACCTCCTCATGGAGACCGTGTTCTGCCTGTTGTAAGAAATCAAACCTGTCCATCTTGAGTCCTCCTAGTGACCAGCAGGAGCTGTCAGAACCAGGGGACACAAAGATACCAGCTTCTACAGAACTCCACTTTCTAGTGTTAGGATCTAGCAATAAGTAGCTTTTAAACAAAAAATCCAAAGAGCAATCTGTTTCCCAAGGTCACGATGTATTGCATTCGTAAACAGTGTGTCATGTGTCCCCAGAAACGCAGTTAGAAGAGCTCAGCTCTGCACTGGGGAGCGGACAGCTGTGCAGGGCGCTTGGTGAAATGCTGGTGCAGCTGCCTTAACTGGAGTTCTGTGCCGACAGTGACAGAAGGCAGGGCTTCCTGTCGGTTTTTCAGCAGGTATATAGGTGTTAAAATTAAAGTCTGAAAAAAGAATGGCATTGATCAGAGAGCAACCAGTCAAAAATATCCACATTTTATTCCCAATATTGATACTTTTCTCATTCTTGCAGAATGCATGAGTCCTGGATCCTATCTTCCCAAATGCAGATCAAAGTTAATATTTATGTCTCTCTGAAACGGCCCAGGAGGGAAGGTGCTTATTTTTTCAAACTGCCTCGACCTTTTCAAACAAGACTCCCAGCCTTGATCATGTGCGTTCGGTGAGACGGACAAGGCCTGACGGACGTCTGCTCTAAGCATCAGAAGGCAAAATATCATTTCTAAATTATGTATTAAACTAGTTTAACATGTCAGGATTCATGTATATGTCCGAGCCCGGACATTTCAGGTGGCCAAGGTGTGACAGACGTGTCCCCATCAAGGTGCAGGAGAAAGTTCCCCAAGGGGCGTCAGAAGGGCCAGACTTTGCGGTTACCTCGGACCCTGCTTCTTTATTAGCTGTTTCTTTACCCGAAAAGGCACGGAGAGACGCATGCCTGTCCCCCCGTGCGCACCACCGATGAGCAATGACCACAGCAAATGAGGAGGAGGTTTATCTGTGTCAGGGGCTCAGTAAACAGCCAGGGTGCTTCCCTGGCGGCAGGAAATGGTCATTTCTCCCTCGCTCTCCGGAAGCCGTGATGCTTTCCATGCGGGCAACTGCCTAGCGCCCGGCGGTAAAAGGGTTTGAGCCTCTGTCTAGGGCCCCGTTAGCTTCAACGCCATGGAGAAGACACCATGTCTTCTGAGGCTGAATCTGCCCCTTTCACAGACCAAGATGCCCAGCGGAGCACGGCTGGTGGACACAGACATGGAGGAATGACTGAGGAATCGTGAGGTGACACAACTGTTAGAGCATGAACAGGGATCGAACAGACTTTTCAGGGAAAACCCGTTTGATTTAACACATTTAGAGAACTGTCCCTCGCAGGAGCCTGGGGACTGGAGACCGGCTCCCTGCGCCCTTGCCCGCGAGAACAGTGGTCTGGACTGCTGTCCATTTGTTTTCCTCGCGGTCAACAAGCAGCTTCCGGGACACCACCCAAGAGGGACGAGAAGTGCCCTTTGCCCTCCCTAGCCGTACAGCCAGCCAACATGTCACTGATGGTCCCTCTTATTTTTTTTTAGGATTTTTTAAATTGAATTTTAGAGAGAGGAAGGAAGAGAGAGTGAAACATCGATCGGTTATGTCCCGCACAACCCCCACTGGGGATCGAACCCAAAACCTAGGTATGTGCCCTGACCGGGAGTCCAACCAGCTACCTCTCAGTGACGGCACCACGCCAACCAACTGAGCCCCTGGCCAGGGCCGGTCCCTGCTCCTGTGGCTGCACCTGGGCCCCTGTGACCCCTGCTCACAGTTTCTTTCCTATTTTGAGAATGTGCCACTCGAGCCGGGCGAGTGACTTTGACATTGCATTGGACTGAGTTTAAATAGGAAACATTTCAAAGGCAATTCCTGAGACAAGGACCAAGTGAGGTCGCTGGAGTTCGGGACAGGTTTTCGGACGACCCGGCGAGAAGCGCAGGAGCCGTGACTTACTCGATGGTGTTCCTGTCCACCTTGCCCGTCATGTTGATGCCGTAGAACTGCTGCATGGCCGCCAGGGCGGACTGCATGGTCTCGGCCGAGCGCAGCACTGCCATCCGGGGCTCGGGCGGGGGCAGGTACCCGTACTTCTGCAGCCACACCTGCAAGACAAGCAGGAGCCCGATCAGCTCGCCAGCAGCCGCGGGCTCCGGACCGCCGGCTACAGCGGGCTCCGGACTTGACTTCCCCGACCAGGGCACGTGGCACTTCCCTCTTTTTAACTACGTAAAGGTTTTATCTCTTTTGCACATACATTCTGTTGTTTCAATTAGTTAAATAGAATTTTAGTGGTTGTTACAGATCTTTCTAATGTATCTACAAATGCCAACTGGAAATAAAAACACACACACAGATGAGTCATATGTTGCAAGCAGACAGTTTATAAGGCACAGTAGTAAATACTCAATAAAATAATAAATAAGACCATTCCTTCCCTCTGGGGACTCAACCTCCCCAAATACAGAAGGTGTTTTCCATGCTATGAACCTCTGGGACATTCTGAGGGGAGGAGTGAGCAGACATTTGTCACACCTAAAGTGCCCAGGACGTCCGTATCCGAACACTTGTCTGGTAAGCACAGCGGGACGAGTCCCATCCACAGAGAGAAGCCATGGATTCTGTCCCAACACTCTGGGTACAAATTCCATGCAACTGGGCTACCCAACTGCCGCTAGACATCTCCAAGGGTACCTGTTTCTCATGAAAGAATATTCTTTCATATTTAAGGTGAGTCACTTCAATCCAAATAATGTAAGGGAGCAACTTTTCCATACAGACAAAATCAGACCATCTTAAATAGGCCTGGCCCCCTCTAAGGATCTGACGGTATGTTTCTCATCTCTGCGAGGGAAGGCCCGTACGGCAGAGGTGGAGTCGAGCTCCCATCCCAGCAGTGGCTACAGAACAACTAGTCATCTCAGGTCAGATTTAAAACGCTCAGGTTTCTGGAGGACACATCACCACCAGAGAGCAGATGCTCCCCACTTTCTGTTCTATGCATTTGTTTTAAATGCTTAGTCCCCTGTGCAGCACATGGCCCACCGTGCGGCCCCTCTCTCGGGCTCCTCAGGTCTCTGAGGTTTCTGGAGACGCAGTGAGCAGCCTGTGAGCCCGAGAAAGGCCAACCTCGTGCCTCGGGCACAGCAGCAGGGTCCTGTGAATGGAAGGGTCCCCTCTCCACCCGAGTCTATCTGCCCGGCCCCGTAAGTGAGGGGCCCAGGAAGTCACAGCTTTCCCCAGCACCTGACCCACTTCTGCACGGCCTTACAACCGAACCACGGGGGGTCATCCTCTAGGGGGAAACGAACAGCGGCTGGAGAAGAATCAGCATCTGCACAGTGAAACACGAGCTGGAAGAGTTTGTGGTATTTTCAGGAACCAGATCCCTCAGGTGCAAAACTATAACTGCAATGTCTTGAAAACAAAACCCTGATTCTGAAAGAATGGGGGGCATTAGAAGTGGGTCGCTGTCAGGAAGGTGAACAGGAGAAACCGTACCCAGCACACTCATCCACCAGTGACAGCATGCCGGACTCACCTACACACACTGTCACCTGCCCACCGTGTGCGTCTGCAGCAGACGCCGCGGTTTTCTGAATGAAGGCAATATGTTATTTACTCGGAAACCCAACACCGACCGCAGGCAGCAACCCCCAGGTAGAGGATTTCAGCTTGAGCGTTAACAGTACACACGCACCGATATTCTGGATTTTAACTGTTTTTCATAGCCCCTTGTTTACATCCATTTCTTACCCGCTGGAGAGCTGGCTTGTTGCTAGGTTACTGGTGGGTGCCAAGCTACTGGAAATCACATTGAGGAGTCAAGAGAAAACCGTTAATAATAAACTCTGTGATTTATATACAAATAGAAAGACCATAAAATATATAAATTTTAAGTGCATAATCAAAAAACAGCATGTTCTAAAAAATAAATATTTGATGTATGCTTCAGCCTTTCAAACAAATGAGTTAGAATAATAAAAAAATAAATTGCAATTTTCCTGCAAGTTCTCTTGTGTCATTTATCATGAAGAGCTGTTTTTCCAAGAGATGGAGAAGTGAACAGTTCCTTTAATTGTAAATTATCAGGTAAGCTGTGAGATTCACTGTTTTTACGGTCAAGGTTTGTTTCCTGGCCAACAGATCAATGTCATTAAGATTATAGGTCCCACCCGAGCTGGCTTGGCTCAGCAGTTAGAGCGTCAGCCCATAGACCAAAGGGCCATATGTTTGATTCCGGTCAAGGGCACTTGCCTTGGTTAGGGTTCGGTCCCCGGCCCTATTCGGGGTCATGTAGGAGGCAGCCAACAGATGTGTGTCTCTCACACCAATCTCTCTCCCTCCCTCCCCCCCACTCTAACTGAAGATAAATGGAAAAATATCCTCAGGTAAAAACTAAACAACAACAAAAAATTATAGGTCTTATTGAGTTGGCCATTCTTAATGTTGCTGTTACTTGTTAATGAAGAAATGGTGATTAAAAAAAGAAAAAAGAAGCCTTCTCTAACCTCGCCAAGAAATGGCCAGGACTCCAAGAGACTCGCAGCCCGAGAACAGCCTGGTGCCAGAGGAGAGGAGGCTGGGGGGCTGGCGGAAGCGGTGAGGGGTGAAGTGTGAGTGGTGGGACCTCAGCACAGCACAGGGAATACGGCCAATCACATCCTGCTAATTATGTGTGGGGCCAGGTGGGTGCTGTAAATATCGGGGGACACTCTGTAAAGGGTACGATCGTCTAACCACTATGCTGTGCACCTGCAGCTACTACAAAATACTATTAGGTTCTTTCCCATACGGAAGCCTTCATTGCAGGCGGTGCACTCGTCAGGGCCGACATCTGACGATGCACAGGAACTGCAGGGCCCACCGTTCCGAAGGTGAGCAGGTGGAGCCAGTGCGCTGCCTGTGTCCAGGTATTAGAAAGAGCAGGTGGTGGAGAGCAAGGGGAACCTGCCGGCAGCCGCCCCCCTCTGCCCGGGCAGCTCCTCGTGCAGATTCTCCGGTTCCAGAGAAGCAGGTGACCACAGGAGGCCAGTGGGCGTCTCACCCCTGCTGAGCAGGGGATGCTCTGTGCCCCAGGACTTTCATGAAAAAGCCCCAAGGACAACTTCATTCACATTTTTAATTCAAGTGTGGGAAGAGTTGGGGGGAAACACACAACGTCCAGGGAAGAAAATCCTACCTCTGTGGCCCGTGTACAAACAAATATGCAGTGTTGTCTTACGTGAGCCTAGCACCCCGAGCTGTGTGGTGGCACCCGAGAGTCTCCGCTTGTGTCCATGACTGGACTGTCCAACTCCGTGGGCAGGGGAAGGTGCCACCTCCCCTCACGGGACACCCACCAAGGGTGGGTGCAGCTTCAGTTCTTTGAGAGAAAAAGGAGCACCCGAGTTTACTAAAGTCACGGTGACGTCTTGGCTCATCTGAAGTGTCCATAAAAATGCATTAAAAGCTGGAAAAAAGTTGCGCATTCTCCTAGTGACATTGTAAAAAGTCCATTGAACTGAAACTGAGATGATTTAAAACAAGCCACTGTGAGTCTCTGTCATCAAAGCTGAGGCTGCCTATGACACCCAAGGCCCTGGGGGCAGAGCCCAGAGTGTGAACCCGGGGCAGTGCCGGCAGCCAGAATTCAAATAATATTGATGTAAACTGCAATAGAAATAAACACATAAATATAAATAAATAGTAAGAGAATACTTAAAAATAATGGCCAATAACAATTCTCAGTGGCGAGGTGAAATGCAGCCTTCCGCAAAACCGCGGAGACCCAAGCACGCCTCTCTTGGTGTCAGGTTAGAGCGATTTTCTACCTGTGTGCTGCAAGAATTTTTAAAACATTCAATACCTGACTACTTAGTCGAGCACTGACCTTTTCCCCTTAACTCAAATAAAAACAAAATGACAACAGCCAACACAAAGTCATCTGGTGTGAATGAATTAAAATTATACCTTTTTTTATGTTGGCCAAAAATATATTTTTTGGTGTGTTGCAGACTTTTAGTAATTAGTTTCTGTGCCATGAGATGAACAAGGCTGAAAATCACCGCATCAGACTATGAGACCAGCCCTCAGTGGCATTTCTTGTTGCAAACACTTCTGCAAACAGCCTTACCCAGGTCAGTGTAAAAAGCAAGTAATCATACCGACAATGACTTGCAGTATTAATTGGATACGTGGTGCTTCTTCTTTTTTTTTTTTAATCCTCACCTGAGGACATTTTTCCATTTTTTATTCAGACAGAGCAGGAGGGAGAGAGAGGAAGAGAAAGAGAAACATCAACGTGAAAGGGACCCACCGAGAGGCTGCCACCCACACGACCCAACCGGGGCCGGGGACAAACTGCAACCGGGGTACATGCCCTTAGTGGGAACTCAACCCGGGTCTCTCTGGACCGCAGGCCGATGCTCTAACCGCTGAGCAACACTGGCCAGGGCCGTGGTGCTTCTTTAGACACGTAATATTCAACATGGAAACAGTCACTTGCTTAAATAATCTTTTATTCACCCAGAGGGTATCCTGTCTTGGGTTTGTTTTTGTTTATACTACATCCTTGAACCTGTTGAGATTGCAGCATTCTGAGAGTCTGATCATTTTTGGTATGACATCAAAAAAGATGTGCACAGAGTACCCCTAAATGATAAGATGTTAATGCTCCTTGAGGAGAAAAACTGGTCAACAAGACAACATAACACCAGCCAGGTACACACAGGACTGTACACTCAGTGTCACTGGTAGGAAGCCACCGTAGCCGCATGCGTAGTGGTTCCTAAACACGGACTCCTAGGCAGCCAGTGAATGCAGGTCAAGGACGCACAGTCTGTGGTCATCACAGGTGCAGGCGACTCTGGGATCCGCGCCTCCTGTTTCGATGCAGTGCACCTGTGGCTGTGCAGGCTGAGGACGGTGGGAGCTCAGCGCCCCCGGTCCACAGCAGGGAGCCACAGGCAGTTCGGGAGATTGAGAAATGACAGACCTGACAAAGAGGAAGATCTTTCCTTCGCGCTCTCTCTCTCTCTTATTTGTTTCTTAGTCAATTACAAACTTATAATATTTTACTCTATAAAAAATTAAATGAAAAGTACAAACTAATATTTGAAAGTAA